AATTTATACATATTTGCTGTAAAGTTTTCACGATTTTATGAGAATACTTTGACTGTGGACAGAACAGGTGTGACGTTTTGACAAATGTGTGCGACCCACTGCAGGAGATTTAAAAAGCAGCTGTTAGCAGTTAGCAGCTAACTCAAAAAAGAAGCTGAAAATGTCCACAAATAGTAAAAACAATGAGGTCCAGGAGCTCCTGACCCTCCGAGCAGAGGACAAGATCAGCTGCCATATAACAGGGGCACTACATGACTGTTATTGACATGTTATGTCATTGTTATTGTTTATAAAACTCTGACACGTATGTTATATGTCACACTAGAGGCCGATACTGTTGTGTTCAACGTCATGCCATGGTTGTCTGAGGGGACCTGAATACAGCTTTGGAGGCGGGGCCCTGTTCATTCCTATGAAAGCAGCTCATTGGTGCGTGAAGCCAAAATGGTTCAACTGCCACATATGAAATTACCCAAATGTCCAGTGCGGCTTCCACTCTGGAAGCGGCTGAGTGGCTCCTTCCATTGGTTTAGCGCTCTGTTAACTTGAATGGGGATAAAATAATTTGATTGTGTGGCTCTCTTTGGCTTTCCAAGTGTTATCTGACCGAAGTGATTACTTCACGGGGTGATGATGCTCAAAAAATATATCCACTGATTTATAGACGTCTCTTTCACAATGTAAGTCAATGGGAAAAAGTCTTTTGGGCTGCAGGGCATCATGTGACGGTGTAATTACACTGTTTGGGGCGGCCTGGTCCACGAACATCACGACTGCGCAGACTCTGGCTCCGAATCATGCCACCAGAGGAAGATGGAAGTGGCCATATCAGGAATGTTTTAGTTTCATCTCTGCACAGTGTGGACGTGGAGATGCATCGTCCATCTTTACATACAGTCTATGATCCCAGTACGCAACACTATAACATATATCTGCTAACATTAAATCTCTTGTCCATCAACAGGGAGCCGGCAGAGCGTCGGCTGTGTTCTGGCACCAGAGGACCAAACACTGCCCAGCATGGCCACATTAACCTGTTAAGGGGCCTCAGAGCACAAACATGGTTGTTTGGCCCCAATTATAACTAAAATAACTACGGTCTTAAAGCTATGTTTTGACACAGGGCCCCTCAGCAGGACGGGGCCACAAGATTAAGTAGTGATCCCAGACCTGTCTCAGTTCACATTGTACTTCAGGGGTGCAAATTCCCAAACAAAACTGCACTTAATCAAATTATGTACAAGCAACTGACACACAGTGAACCCGGGGCTTTAGGGGGGCCCTCTGTGTCTGGGGCCCCCGGGGCAGTCACAATGTAAGTCTGAGCGACCAGCACTGGCCCGTGTTAGGCTGACAGATTTGTGTTCGCAGGATCAGCTGCGTCTTTTTAGTTTGTCATTTGTTGGGTGAATGAAGTCAGCTGGGACAGACGGTGGAAGCAGTGGTGTTGATACTGTTATGGGTTTATTCTGAATCCAGGTCAGAGTCCTGCACCGGGCAGGTGCCCACAGGTAACCCACGAATAAGTTGTGAAACACCTTAACTTTCATCCTTGTCCCGCTGTGTTTCCCCCTGATACCGCCAGGCGCCGTCAAACTGTTACAGCAACTGGCCACATATATTGGTGATGTATTGGCGACATATTGACGTGCTTGGTCATGGACTTTCCACGTCCACATACGACGTGCAGGGTACCCTGGGTGTGTTGGTTGTTGACGTTCTGGGATGCCGTGTCAAGTTCTATTTCAAGATACACTTCTGTTTAACGTTTAGATACAGTCTCTTTCAAAATAAGTGCACTACGTCGGTACAACACCGCCAAATGACTTTTTTTTTTCTTCAACAACAAAAACACGGGTGGGATGAGAAAAAGAGAACAGGGTTTGGCTTTAGATTGTTACGGGACGCAAACACCGCTGTCTTGGCTGAAAGTCGATGTTTGTTGGATCCATCCACCACGCCTCCCACCTACACTTTCATCCTTGTCCCAGTGCGTTTCCCCCTGATGCCGCCAGGCACCGTTAAACTATAGCAGCAACTGGTCACGTCGTTGGTTTCTGGCGCCAAAAGTCACTGCCCAAGCGCCGAATTTTGGCGACTTTGGAGTGCGACCAGGTTCTACATTCAGACAGAACTAAATTTACAAAAAGTCCAGTTTGTGCCAGAGTGCGTTCCGACACTCAGTGTGAATATTTCTGAACGCACCACTCGCATCATCGTCCTCCATTGTCTAAAAAAAGCTGAGAGAACTTGCTAGCTAAAGCTAGCTGATGTCTGTGGAGAATTGTTTTGCCTCCAGCTAAGCCCCGCCCACCCAAAAAACCTTCAAACTGTTTACTAACAGTAGAAGGGCCCATAGCCCTCTTATTCCTTCATCACTGCTCTGTCAAACAGTTCGTTCTCTGGTTTTGTGTCACCTGGATTATTGCTCGGTTAGCTGGTCGTCTAAACAGTTAATAGGAAAATTACAAGTAGCATAAAACAAGGCTGCCAGACTTATTCTCAACTGTCCCCCTTTGATGAGTACAATTGATATGCATTAATTTGGGTTGGCTCCATGTCGAGAAAATTTTTATAGTGTTGTGAATAAACAATCTCCACAATTTCTTGCTCAAAAGATAATCTACACCAATGAAATTCATTCACACTTCACAAGAGCTGCCAGCAATGAGCATATAATTCTGCCACGTCCTAAATCCAATTTCATGAAGAAATCAGTTTTGTATAGAGCCACAAGTTTATGGAATCTACTCCCAAGATAAATTCACAGAACCAGAGACAGGAATTGTTTCAAGAGAAAACTGAGAATACATTTGCAATCTAATTATTTGAGTTAATTCATTTGTTGCAAGTCTGTCATTTATTTTTCTCTGCTTTTGTCTTTAATCTTTTTTAATATACTCCATTTCATTATTTTTCAGTTATGTATTCTTGTTTGTATACTTTTTGTATTATGTTATGAGTTTTATGACTATGGACCCCAGGAAGACTAGCTGTTCGTCCAGGTGTCAGCTAATGGGGATCCATAAACAAATAAACAAATAAACAAATAAATAGCATCATGTGACGGGGCCCAGAAGCTGCAGTACCACTGTTTGGACACTACGAAAATTGGCTTCAAAGCCTGGCGCACGTCCTGGGGCCCTAGTGGTTATTTGGGTACAAAAAGACGAGTGACATCACTCAGACTGCTGCTTTGGAGCCCCAACGTCAATTCAAAATTAAAAATAAAAACCTTCCCAAAACAGTAACCAAAATTTGTGCCACCCTTTACAATTTTTCACTGTACTGTACTTGTCACTCTTTCAGCTGTGACGAGGTGCTTCATGCGTGTTGTGTTGTGCCGGTCGCAGTGCGGCTCTCAGAAGTGGTGCAGTTTTAATCTGAACGTTAAAAATAAGCGTGTTAATTTTCCAGCGTGAAGGTACCACACACTCAAAACACGGTCAGAGGGATGCAGTTGGGAGGCAGAGTTTGGTTCTGATGAAGGATCACTTACTGCTGCCGCTGCTCTCTCAGATACCTGATTAAATATTTTATAACTGGGCTCAATGAAACACGAACAGCTCCGCTTTTCCAAACAGTTGCACCTGATGACTGTGGCGCTCAGAGATCATGGCGCTAACAGGCGCCTTTCCTCGGCAGCAGATAGGAAAGGTAACATGTGAGGAAGAAGCTGTAGTGAAACTCTACACTGATGCTCCACAGTCCGGATCCATGATCCGGAGCCGCAGCTTGCAGCGCGCCGACGTGAGCCCAGTTTGAATTGACGGACGTCCTTGGAAGCCAATCGGCGCACGCCGTGCGCCAAAGCCGTGTTTATTCCACTTAGCCGACCAATCGGAGTCGTCCTCGGCGGCTGAGTGCGTCATCAGAGCAGAATGTGAATGTGGGCTGCCTGTTAGCGGAGCACACTCTGCTCCCATCCCCCCATCCCGAGCGAGCAATGGCGGCCGCTTTTGTGCCGCTTTGTCCTTCTCATGTTCAGATAAAAGCCCAGTGTAAACTCGGTAAGGAAAAATACCTGTTTGCCCTTGTGTTTATAAGAATGCGTGTCAGTTCATGAGCACAGACTTCTGTTTCTCGCACTTTTGTCTCATCGCATGTCTGTTATGTCGCACTGCCTCTTTTTCTCCCTCCTCCACGACGGGGGCATTTCGTGGGCTCTAACAATGGAGACGGAGGAAATGAGGCCACCGGCACTGTGACTGCTCCCGCTCACTGACCCGGCCTGCACACACTCCACCACCGCTTTCTACACATTTATTCCGACTGTTTATTCGTGCGTCGACCTTGGCGCACGAATTTATGGACTGTTATGTAAAAAAAAAAAAAAAAAAAAAAAAACAACTCAAGAGCGTCAAGTGCGCACACAGAGCTGAGTTTCAAACATGGGCGTCGGGGAGGGGAGGGGCGAGCAGCCGACGATCAGGGGCTGCGATGAGACATGGCGGCGGTGCTCCACATTTACATTTGCGCCTTTTATGTGATTGATGGCGCTCATGAGGCGACTGTAACGTTTTAAAAACGCTCTAATCCACCAGCTCTGTCCGAGCCTCGACATATTTGCCTCTCAAGACTTTATTCCCTCGTCGCTCCGGTGGGCGGGAGAAGCGAACCGGTGTCGCCGCTTGACTCGACCAGATGCACATCAATCAATCAATCTGTGACACTACGTCAACGCAAGCGCCTCCTATTCGATATGTTTAGTGCGTAATTCGGTGTAAACTGAAAGAATGTCGGCTCTCCAGTGTTGAAACGGCGCTAACGTTACAGTTTGAGTCCGTTTGTCCGGTTTAATCGGTACGTTTATTGTTTTTGTGGGAGAAAGGACGGTTGCAGCGGCGGACAGGAGGGGGGCGTGGCCTCGGGGTTTAGAAATTCTATCCATTGTTCCACTCCAACGCGCGAAGAGAACACCTCTGTGGAGCTGTCAGCCAATCAGCCGCCGCCGAGCTCCTCCGAGCGCCGCCCACCAGCCTATATTAAAGGCTCGGCCGTCACCAGCGCTGGCCACTGGCACAATATAATAGCGATTGATCCACTAACCGAGGAGAGGGATTTACTTTATTCAACCTTTCATTTCAGCCGTCCTTTATTTTATTGAACTAAAACAATGGCAGACACAGAAGTTAACACCGACTCGGGGATCACAACCAAGGTAAGCCGCCTCACACCTTCACCGGAGCCGCTTCCCGCTGAGCTCCTCAGCAGAATAAAGCTCTCCAGCTTGTAACCTAGATTTAAAAAAAAAAAAAAAAGAAAAAACATTCGTCGGGGCTTCGCGCTCATTCGGACTCGGAGGAGTCTGCGCCGGTGGGACACACCGGAGGGGGGACAGAGACGGAGGGGCAGCCGGTGTTTTTCTCTAAAATGTCCCAGAGATGAAGCGGGGGGTCTCGGAGCCGCATCATGGAAACAGGCTGCGCCGCGTCTCATTGTCCGGAGAGTAACAGTCTGCGCGGGTTCTTTGTTTATACAAGCGGCTCGGTTCTCCGCGCACTAACGCGCTCAGCAGGTCCGGACCGAAACACGGAGCCACACGAGCCGCTCCGACACACACTCACACCGCTTTTTGGGCTCTTTATCCGCCGCCGCTCTGAAAGCTGAGAAGACGCGCCTATTTATTCCACATCTCTGCGTAATGCCAATTAATTCTCAGATTAAATCCCGCGTCCAGTTTAAGAGAGACATCCCGGGTGGTGGTATTAATGGAGCGGGGACGAGCTGCCGGGACCGAGCAGCGGGATTTCGTTCGGCTCTCCAGCTGGGTCTGTGCTGTGGAGTTTGAATGGAGGACGGAGAGGCAGGCAGGCAGGCGGTGCGTAATTCACACCAGTGTCAACTTTCGGAGCTCTCCACTTTTTTTCCCGATTCCCATTTGTTTGTTTTTAAAAGGCACCGGCGGGCCTGCCTGCACCGCCCGACCCGGTTTGTTTACCGACTCCGGAAGGTCGGCTCCTGCCGCCGCTGCTGCCTGAACGGGCTCTGCTTATTCAGCCTCCGTTTACCGGAGTGTGGTGATACGCGCACGGCGAGCCGCGGCTTCCGCTTTTTCGTCAGTATATCTGAGCATGTTTGCAGCGCGCGTTTGTGTCTCAGGGGGAAAGTTTTTCTTTCTTTTTCTGTAACGCAGCCCACTTCTCTCTCCCCGTGTGTGTGTGTGTGTGTGTGTGTGTGTGTGTGTGTGTGTGTGTGTGTGTGTGGAGGTGTGATGTGACGGTGCTGGTTTTCCCCTCTTTGTGCTCCGTCGCCGTTTGGCCTCTCTCCTTCTATCTGCCCGTCGTTGTGCTTTTTATGTTAAATGTTAATTTCCGTCCAGTTGGACTTTGGATCACATCGGGTAAAACTTTAATTGCCCCCGCGGGGGGAGTCGGGTCTCCGCAGCAGCGGTCAGGAGAAAAGGATCCAGCCTTTAATAATAAGAGCAGCAGCAGCAGCGATGATCCGCGGAGCTGAATAATTATGAGTGACTCTAACTAATGAACATATGGAGAAGGTGGGGAGGGAAAAGTTGGGGCCTGGTATTAACGCTCATAATCCGGGGTGCCTGTTCAGCCACTATTTATAGTTGTGGAGCATTTTTACGCACAAGCGCCTTTTTACGCACAGTCGGTGAGTGCGCGAGCGGAGCCTCGGAACCTCATTTGTCTCCTGCCAAGGAGCCTCAGATGCTCCTAAACAGCTTAATGGGTTTTCAGCAATAAGATTTTGTAAAGCAATTAATCAATAACAGTGTATGTGTTGGGTGTGTGGGGCGTGCGTGCGTGCGTGCGTGCGTGCAGCGGGGATAATAGGCTGTGAACGGACGGTGTCGACAAAACGAGGAAACCGAGCGCTATTAATAGGCTCGACGGGCGGTTTTCCGGTTTAAGTGGAGCACAAAAAATCCCCGAAGGTGTTTTTGACGGTGTGTGTGCGGGCACCGGCCCCGCCGCGCCGCCTTATTTTGGCGTTTCTGGCCGCCTCTCTCGCCTGCCATGTGTCGTCTTCTATTGTCCTCTCCAGCCTCCGTTACAACAAGCGGCCAGCAGCAGCAGCGTGCACCGCGCTCGCCGCCTCCCCCCCCCCCCCCCCCTCTCCCTCCTCCTCCTCCTCCATCACCTCCTCCCCCTCCCTCCCTCCTCCTGCTCTTGCGCCCTCCTGTGTTATTTTAAATGGAGCAGTGCATCCTGGGTTTTGCAGTGCCTCTCCCGGGCGTGTCTTGTGACATATGGCGGCGACGGCTGCCCGCGGAAGACTACAATACCCAGAGTGCCCCGGGGGCCACATCAAAGTATCAGATTACAACACATTAGCGGGGATGGAGTGGGAGGAGGAGGATGGGGGAGGATCTGCAGAGACCAATATGGTGTTTAAATAGGAAGGCTTCATTCTGACAGGCAGAGGGCTGATAAACGTGAAGCTCCCAGCAAGCACTGGGGCTCAGCTAACTAGGCCATTAGGTAGAAGGGCAGGTAGCAGCAGTGAGGAAGGATTATGTTTATTTTTTTGTAGTTTTAAAATTTCCTTTTCTAACATTTGTGTTTGTTTGCATCAGGACCTGAAAGAGAAGAAGCTGGTGGAGGAGAAGAACGGCAAAGAGGTCGCCAACGGGAAGGTAAGCTCCGTCGAGTTAACTCTGCTCGTACATGACTCTGGTGTTCCTCCTGCAGAGAACTTCCTGTCAACTTTCAAAAACTTCAAGTCAGTCACTTATTTCTTTATTCCAGGAGAATGAGGAGAATGGCGAGCCCGACGTAGACGAGGAAGATGATGAGGAGGTGGATGAGGAGGACGAGGAAGATGACGGAGAAGGTAGCTGAAAGATTTTCACTCTTCCTGTATCATTTCTCAATTCTCGCAAAAATCTCACTCTCCTCATCCGCCATCCCGCAGGAGATGAGGAAGACGAAGATGAGGACGACGATGAGATCGAGGGCGGCACAAAACGGGCAGCTGAGGATGACGACGACGATGACGAGGTGAGGCGGCGCCACCTGACCTTGACCGCCGAGAATCTTACGGGTCGGGATCTCGCCCCTTTTTAACTAACCACCCGTCTTCTTCTCTTCCTCCAGGACGACGTCGAAACCAAGAAGCAGAAAACCGACGACGACGATTGATGCGTTTTCCCCCCGCGCCATCCTGCTGAACCACTTCCTGATTCTTCACCTCTGACTGTTTTTAGATGTCACAGGAGGAAGGGCTGGAGGACTGATTTAAAGGAAAAAATAATAATTAAAAAAAATCCAACATGGTCATTAGCAAGTAGAGTTCAACAAACATCTACCACACACACACACACACACACACACACACATACACATGTACACACATGATCTCCCCTCAAAACTGCAAATTTTCTAGAGGAACCCGCCACCACATCGACGCAGAATCCGGCTTCTCTTCAACAACAACACGAAAGGAGAATTTGTTTGTATTTTTATTTACATTTTATATTTTTGTACATATTGTTCGGAGGGGAGGTCAGTTTCTCTCTCGGCAGCGATCTCGTCAGACCAAATCGGTGCTTCTTTAACGAAAGATTTTACTTGGTTGACCATGTTACGATATCTCAACAGATAACTAGAAAAAACATGTAAAAACAGTTAAAAAATACCATGAAAGAAAACCTCTTAAAGCCGTTGAACTCAGAGCATTCCAGTAAATTTAATGTATGTACTTTAGCTGTACCATAACTAGTTTGTTTGTATGGGAGGGTAAGGCCAAAGAAAAGAGCCTCTTTTCTTTTTCCTTTTTATTTTGTTTTTGTCAGCGACTTTTTGTTTTATGACGGCCTGTTTTGATGTATGTGCGAAGTTTGTTGTTTGACAATAAACCGGACTTTTATTTTGTGAGTTGTACTTTGTATCTCTGCTTGTTTCTTCCTCTCCGCACGGCGGCTGAGTGACGGAGACCCTCGGGTGAAGGTGAACAAATGTTACTGCAGCGTGTTCAGCATTTACTCTGGTACAGCTGCGAGGGACTTTATGCTCCTGCTGCATTACATTTCTTCACAGCTGCAGTTTCTGAGCACTTTGCAGGTGAAACCATGAGCATATAAAACATGTTGCATATTGTAGATGAATCTAGTGGTTCTCAAACTGGAGCTCAGGCCCCGCATGAGGTCGCAGGATAATAAAAATAGATCTTATATCCAGGTGTGGATGAAGTACCTTAAGTATCTGACCTTGAGTACAAGTTAAAGTCACTTTAAAGAATATTACCTGAGTTAGAGCAGAGGTTCCCATCTGGTGAGTCCATTCTGAATGAATGACTTATTTTCAAACCATAAATAAGAAAATAAGAAATGTTTCTTACATTTCTTCTCTGACCTCATTATTTCAACAAATTCCCAAATTTATTTACAACTATTAAACAACTATCCCCAGTCTATTAATCACCCAGCTAAATAAGTTATAAACCCAGTTTATTTACAGCCCAAGTTACAAAATGAATATGCGCTGCCTTAATATAAGAATCACAAGTGACTCCAAAATGTGTCAAGTTTGTGAAAAAAAAACACTTTATTTTTAAGTACAGTGAATTTCCGGCTCAGAGCTTTTATTGTGAAGTGTCATTTCCTGCTGTAGAGTGAGTTAATAATGGACAGCTACTACAGAGAGACAGAAAACTGTCCTGACATCACGGCCAAACACAACGTGTGACGCTGAATGTGTCAAACTGTGTGGACCTGAAACCAATGACAAGGGAGAAATCTGGACCACCTTAAGTTTTCTTCTTAAGTATGACACTTCAGGCTTAGTTTCTCCTTAGCTGAGGGACTCACACAGTTGCACAGAATCCCATAAATGGCTCATTTGTTAAGGAAGAACTCACTCACTGTGTCGAGAGAGATTTTACAGCCGTAAAAGTTCCCATGGAGTTTTTTTTGTTCACTCGTGTCGTGTGTTATCGCCTCACAAAGTTGGCCGGTCGATAGATAGTGTGGGAAAGATCAAACTTCTGGGGGAATACGATCATAGAAAGAAGAAACTATAAAGTAAATCTGATCCCCAAATACCAGAAAACAGACAAGCAACGAAAATGAATTCAGACAGATCTTAAGTGTAAAATCAGAAGCGTATCCATCAGATGCTCCTCGTCGCAGAACTGCTCAGGGTGGGTTAATGTTTTTTATGTATCTCCATAAACTCAGTCATGCTGCAGTTCAGACAGTCAGAGGGACCTTAAGTTTTTCTTGTTTTGTACCTGGCTTTGGTTGCTAAGGTCTTTGTGCAACAGCTTAAGGTTTCCTTAAGTATAAAGTTGCAGGCACACCAAACTGACAACAGAGAACCAGCGGAGACCAAAGCCAACTGTTGCGTCGTCTACGTCACCTCACGTCGCCCTGTGTCAGTTGCATTTGAACACACTACACGGACTACATCCGACGGCCAAGTAGCACGTACGTTCTGCGCCTGAGTGAGAGAGAGCGGAGTGAGAGAGTGGTACATCCTGTCAGCCGAGGGGAAAAGCCACCGACACCAAAGTGCCGACGGTGAGGGACACATCGCAAAAACTAGGGCGACAGACGCTCACCAACGGCCCGATTTTGGTCGACGGCCGACCGTCGGCTTGGTGTGTCAGGGCCTTAAGACCAAGACGAGGAGAAAACCATAAATACACAAGGGAACATTTTAAGGAAGCCTTAAGGAGAAGACTAAGGGATGTTTTGTGCAACCGATGTTATTCTGAGGAAACCTTAACGAGGACTTTATGAAAAAATAATTATCAAAGTATCAAAAGTACAAGTAAGTGTTGGTGATAAAAAAGCGAGCGGTCAGAATTCTGAGGATGATGAAGTTTATTTCTTCTTAAAATGGAGCATACATTACACTTAAAGAAAAACAAGGTCTTTTTCAAGACTTTAAGGATTTGAAGAACAAAACCCAGTTTTTCCTTCTCTCCCAGTTCAGGTCAAATCAAACTTTATTTATACAGCACGTTTCATACAAGCAGGATGCAACACAAAGTGCTTCACACACTAAACAATGAAGCAGAGGTCTGTAAGTATCTGACTGGCTGCACAAAACACCTTAAAAGGTTTCCTTAGTTAAGCATAAACTCATTTACTGTGTTGAGGGAGATTTTACAGTGGTAAAAGTTTCTGTGGAGACTCTTTGTTTGCTTGGATTCACACTTGTGACGCCTGTTACCGTGTCACAGAGTTGTCTGTTAGACAACGTCCGTCCTCTTCCATCATCAGTAGTGTTATTGGTTGCAGTGAAGTCCATGTCCTCAAGAACTGTACTTAAGTACAAACTTTATGTACTCTACCTAAGTAAAGGCATTTCTTTATTGTACTTTACTCCACTAAGTTCACACATTATTAGTTACGTTTTTTTACTGCAGTAGGATTTGAAATGCAACACTTTTATTATAATGGAGTATTTATACATGTTTGTTTGTTAACTGGTTGCAACCAAGTACGTTTTTTTGTTACTGCAGTAGGAAATTTAATGCAATACTTTTACTCGTACTACTGTAGCTATACGTTGTTGTAAAGGTACTTTTGCTCTGTGGGAGTACGGGGTACTGGGCTCACTGCTACGAGCCATCTGGTCCCTGTATGACCACAGTGAGAACTGCGTCTGCATACTCGGTGTAAAGACAGGACAGGATCTCGAGGTGCAGTCGGGGGAGGAAGGGGTCCAGTTTGGGGACCTCAGAGTCACATCTCTGCTTTTCAGACATGATGTGGTTCTGTTGGCTCCATCTCACCGTGACCTCCAGCATGACCTGGGGCGGTTTGCAGCTGAGTGTGAAGCGTCGGGATGAGAGTCAGCACCTCCAAATCTGAGGTCATGGTTCTCTGCTGGAGAACAGTGGATTGTTCCCTCTGGGTTGGGAGAGAGTTACTGCCTCAAGGGATCCTCCTGGGCGCCTCCTGTTAGAGGTGTTCTGAGCACATCCCACTGGTAGGAGGCCCCGGGGCAGACCCAGAACACACTGGAGGGATTATATATCTCATCTGGTCTGGGAACACCTCAGGATCCTCCAGGAGGAGCTGGAAAGTGTCGTTGAGGAGAGGGACGTTTGGGGTGCTTTGCTCGGCCTGCTGCTCCTGAGACCCGGCCTTGGAAAAGCAGATGAAAATGGATGGATGGATAGCGAAGGTGTAGATACTCTAACTTGAGCAAACTATCTGTTGGACAGCAGCCTGGGTCCCTCTCAGGTTAAGTGTGGATTAAGAGCCCTCTAATAAACCTGCTGGTGAGAGTTTATTGACAGAGCTTATTTCACAGTTTACACATGGAGGAGTGAAAAGAGATGTGACATACAGAAAAGACAGAGCGAGAGTGTGGCGTCTGATGTTGTTGCAGCTCTGCACTGAAGCTTTAAGATGTTTTGTTCACGTCTGGAGCGTCAGTGGAATGTCCTTTAAAGTATTTAACTACTTTGGGCACATGAGTATTTCTATTTTACGCTACTTGATACTTATCAGAGGGAACTGTTGTACTTTTACTGCAGCACATTTACTACATCAGTTACTTTGCAGATCCATATCTTAAATTCAGTTTGTGAAGTGTGTTGCATTGTTGCAAGTTAAACTGGCTCGCAGTGTGTGATATAATGAGCTGCTTGTCAACATGAAGGTCGAGACCCTGCGAAGAGTCCCAGGGTGAATCAGAGGACCGAGTTATATGAAAGAACAATCTATATTCATGTTTCACAAACGTATGAATACTCTCTTGTTTTCCTGAGAAGTGCTCTGAGTACTTTAACCAACTCAAACCTAAAAAAGTCAAAAAGGTGGAGAACCCTGTTTACAGTCAGTCCTTTCACTCATGATACTTTATGTGAATTTAGCCGATAACATTAATGTGCTTTTTTGAATGCAAAGTAAAGTAACTAAGTACAGTTACTCAAGTACTGTGCTTACGTAAACATCTGAAGCACCGTACCTGAGTAATTTATATTTCTACTTCGTTATTATCACCTTTACAAGTACTTCTTCCACCACTGATATTAGCTGTGGTGCTGGGCCAGCAGCAGTAGTAGTGTCTGTATGGCTCTGAAGAGTAATCATGTTCTTTGAGGGGTTTTTGTCCGGATAATGAAGGACTTGTACTTGTAATCAAGTATTTTTACACGGTGATATTCTTACTTTTACCAATGTAAAGGACCTGTGTACGTCTTCCACCAATGGCAGTAATAGCAGGAGTATGCGTAGTAATAGTAGGCCTAGTATTCGCAGGAGTGTCCAGAGTTCATGTTCCCTGGGATTTTATTTTCCTGAATACTGCAGGACTTTTACGCACAGCCAGGTATTTTTACACCATGTAACTGTGACTTTTACTTAAGTAAATGATGTGAGGACTGCTTCCACCAGCTGTGGTGGTACGTTTGCAGCAGTACTAGTAGAAATAATATTTGCGGTAGTGTCGCTCAGGGTCTGAATGATGTTTACGTACTTTGAGTTCATACTCGCAGTGGCGTTACTGTGGTGTTGTCATTAAATATATGATGTGAGTACTTCTCCTTTAAAGTTGTGCAGGTTTATGAAAACAAACATGGAAGGTGGTGCAGGTGTGATCAGTGAAGGCGGAGGACTCGTCCCAGTGAGCTGTCTGCAGTCTGCAGTCAGTCCAGCACCGACATGATGGAGCCTGACCGAGGGCAGGAGGATCTGATCTCTGTTCAGTCATGTCGGCTGCAGCCTGCAGGGCCCAAAACCTGGAGAGGAAGTTTCATACAAAGGAATGTTAAAAACACAGCACAGTGCCTTCATCACACACACACACACACACACACAGACACACACACACAGACACAGGGTGAAACCTGTTCACCTCACACCATGTGTTAGTGATACACTCTCACAGTGTTACTGTACAGGTGAGCTGCACAGGTGAGTCAG